CTGGTGGGAAGCCTCTGTGTCAGGAGGCAGAGGAACGGGGGAGGCGGAGCTGGAAATAGTTTCAGATAACTTTAAAATTTTCCTCTATTTTATTTCCCCCTTTCCTTTTCTGTCCATTCAAAAGGAAGTTAACCTATCAGTTGACTCTTGAACAGTGCAGGGATTAGGAGTGCCAACCCCGTGTGCAGTCAAGAGTCCACATAGAATTTCTGACTCCCCCAAAACTTCTCTATTGGGTTGGCCAAAAAGTTCGTTCGTTTTTTTCTGTAAGATGGCTCTAGTAGCGCTTAGTTTTGTGTAGCCATTTGAATACTGAAGATGGAAGAAAATACGCAACATTTTTGGTGTATTACAGTCTATTATTTCAAGAAAGGTAAAAAAGGCACCTGAAAAGAAAAAAAAATTGTGCAGTGTATGGAGAAGATGCTGTGACTGATGGAATGTGTCAAAAGTGGCTTGCAAAGAAAGTTTCATGCTAGATATTTCTCACTGGATGATGCCCCATGGTCGGGTAGGCCAGTTGAAGTTGATAGTGATCAAACTGAGACATTAACTGAGCATGATCAATGTCCTATCATGTAGGAGATAGCTGACATACTGAAAATATCCAAATCAATAAAGGTATTGGTGATAATGAAAAAATGTCCTTTATTTTATGGAAAAAACTAAACAGGCTTTTTGGACAGCCCAGTACTAATAGTCTACTGTTGACCAGAGGCCCTACTGAAAACATAAACAGTCAATTAACACATATTTTATATGTCATATATGTTGTATACCTTATTCTTATTTTAAAAAGTAAGCTACTGAAAATGTTATTAAGAAATTTAAAAAATAAAAATAAAACACCCATATCATATGGTAAAAACAGAAATCATAAGAAGGAGAAAATATATTTAGAGTATTGTATACACTTGTTGAAAAATAAATGTGCATACAAATGGACCCGAAAAGTTCGAACCGGTGCCGTTCAAGGGTCAACTGTATTTTACTGGCTTGGGAGTGCTGTGTGGCAGCAAACAAGCAGAGCATGCACGCACACTGTTTTGGGTTCTGTTTCTCAAAAGCCTGAACCTTAGGAGATTGTTGTGGCTAAAGAAGAGACAGGATGGCTGGGGGAAGCATGGGTGACAAAAACAGCTCACAGTCCCAGTGCAAACAAAAGGACAGCATCCCTTGTTCATAAATTGTTAAGAAATTTACCAGACCAAAGCATTAAGCCATTATGAGGACCCTCTGAGCTTGGGGCACAGTGTGAATGTACAGGTTCACACCCACAAAGCTGGCCCTGGACAGGGTGTCCTCAGTGCCAGAACAGGAGATTGCCCCTGGAGCTGGCTGAAAGGACAGAAAAGTCCACAGGATTGGAAGCAGTGAGAACCTGGGGCTGACTCCTGGGCAGCACTGATGGGCATCAACCAAGCAAGGCCTCCGAAAGGAAGGCCTGGGAAATGCATAGACTCTAAGCATAAGGTTCCAGGCTTAGCAGAGTTCTAGTCCTTGAAAGTGGCTCAGAAGCAGCAAAGAGCACATACCTGAAGGGATCTACAGACTGGAAAATCAGAAGGCCTGGCTTTGGGTACAGGTGATGAATAGTCATAGCCCCCTTAACATGCTTTGGTTCTTTATTAAGACCCTAAGACCTTGGGACAGAAGGCAGGACAAGGCAGAGTCAAGACCCATGATTGACATCAGTTTTCAGTCATCCTGGAAGAATGAAGGTTTAGGGTCAGAAACTGACCCTCTTTTCAATTCATAAAAATGAAAGAGATGTACTATCTCTGGCACACCTGTATTTAAAGACCAAGATTCTACCTGCCACAACTGAAGTCCAGCTCCAGGCTCATGCCTGTGCCTAAGCCTCAGGGGTGTCAAATAGAGGTCACTGCAGTCATCCAGGCAAGAGACAAAGCTTGGGCCAGAGTGGTGAGGTGGTCCAGATGGACAGAGGATAGGTAAAGGAAGTATCAGGAATTACTCCCCACTACTGGTATGAGCAATTGGCTAGATGGAGGTGCCATTTCTGAGATCAGGAGTAGAAGAGAAAAACCAGTTCAGGGGAAGGTGGGATGAGTTTTTCTGAACATGGTGGGCCTGAAATACCCAACAGATGCCATATGGACAACTGAAACTCTGATGTGAGGCTTAGAGAAGGCCAAGCCAGAGGGATAAATTTGGGAGTATCAGCCTTGTGGGTGGTCACTGAACAATGGATGAGATTCCAACATAAATAGTAGAGAGAGAAGAGGGCCCGGACACAGCCTGAGGAAGCCCCACATTTAATGGGCGGGCAGAAAAGGATGCACCTATAAAGGCAAGTCAGAGAGAAAAGGAGGAGGAAGTGGAATGCTCCCAAGAGATCCAACACGTTGACAAATTGAAAATGCCCATTGAATTGAGTCATTTGGGAGTTACTGGTGATTTGGAAAGGAACCCCTTCATTGGGGAGGTGAGCTTGGAATTCCAAAAGGAGAGAGTGGGGGAGGGGTGAACAGGCGGCAGAAACACAGAGGTGGGGCCACAGACAAGCTCTGGTGCTGGTTGTGAAGAGGAGAAAAAGAGGCCATTGTTAGAGAAAACTGAGGGATTGAGGAAGGATGATTAGTTTATTATTATTATTATTATTATTATTATTATTATTATTTTATTTCAACAGCTGTGCCAAAGCATAACTAACATATGATAAGCTGCACATGTGCAAAGGGTAACAATATGAAAAGTTTTGACATATGAATAGACCTGTAAAACCATCACCATAGTCGGGTATATATCTTTCACTCCCTGAAATTTCCTTGCCCCCACTTCCTGCTTTCCTCACCCCCATATACTGGCATCTGCTGGTCTTTACTGTAGTTGGCAATTTCTAGAATCTTCTATAAATGGAGATTTTATCATTTTATCTTCTTAAAATGTACTTTTTTGTCTGACTTCTTTCACTCAGCATACTTATCTTGAGATTCATCTATATTGTTGCATGAGCCAACAGTTGAGTTTTTAAAAGATTTTATTTATTTATTTTTAGAGAGAGGGGAAGGGAAGGAAAAAGAGAGGGAGAGAAACTTCAGTGTGTAAGAGAAACATGATCAGTTGCCTCTCACACACCCCAACTGGGGACCTGGCCTGCAACCCAGCCATGTGCCCCGACTGGGAATCAAAGTAGCAACCTTTTCATTTGCAGGGTGGCACTCAGTCCACAGGGCCACACCAGTCAGGGCAATATTTCAATTTTTAATTGATAAGTAGTTTATATTGTAAACTACTATTGTAAACACCATCATTTGTTTATCCATTCACCTGTTGATGAATATTTGAGTTGTTTCCAGCTTGACACGATTACAAATTAAGTTGCTTTGAACCTTCCTGTACAAGTCTTTACATGCTTTTGTTCTCTGCAGTAGAGCACTGGGAGTGGAATGGCTGGGTGCATGTTTAATTTTTAAGAAACCATCAGACTTTTCCAAAATGGTTGTACCATTTTGCCTACCCATCAGCAGTATGTGAGGATTCTAGTTTCTCCACATCTCTGCCAACATTTGGTATGGACAGTCTCTTAAATTTTCAACATTGTAGTAGCTTCCCTTCCTTTTTCTACCCCTATCCCATTTGGGGAGAAGATAAAGAGCAAGGAAATAGCCACATATAAGAAGGCAGAGAGACTCCCTTCTAAGTGCTAACCAGGCCCAACCCTCCTTAGCTTCTGAGATCAGATGAGATTGGGTGTGTTCAGGCTGCTCTACCTAGCAATGCTGTCATTTAGAATCAAAGGGCAGATAGAGAGCTTCCCAGGCAAGAAAAAACTAAAGGAGTTCATCATCACCAAACCATTATTATATAAGATGTTAAAGGGACTTGTTTAAGAAAAAGAAGAAGGTCAAAACTATGAACAATGAAATGACAATAAATACATATCTATCAACAATTGAATCTAAAAAAGCAAACTAAGCAAACAAGAAGAATGGAGACAGAATCATGGATACAGAGAGCATTTTGATGGTTGCCAGATAAAAGGAGAGTGTGGGGGACTGGGTGAAGAGGTGAGGGGATAAAGAAGTACAAATAGGTAGCTACACAATAGCCAGGGGGATGTAAAGTACAGTGTAGAAAATGGAGTAGCCAAAGAACTTATATGCATGACCCCTGGAGGTGAACAATGATGGGAGGATTGCCTGAGGGAGTGGGGGCGTGCAGAGGGGTGGGGGGAAAGGGAGAAAAATTGGGACAACTATAATCGTGTAATCAATAAAATATAATTTAAAAAGAAGAAGGCTAAAGGAGAAGGCAAGGAGAATAAGAAGATAAAATCAGCCATTCTCCAGGGCATCCACACAGCCTGATCAAGGGTGAAAGATTTTTCTGACTCTGTGCCTTGGAGACAAGCATAGTCCCCAGCAAATGGTTCTTTCCTATGGATCATTTGGTCAACACATCAGCTTACTGCCTTCCAGGCCAGGCCCCCAGCCTGGGACAAGAGTTCTATAGAAGCCTCAGCTGTGGAATGCTCTTCCCTGGCCACTGCAGAGAGGAAAAGTGGGGAAGGTAGAGTAAGCAGAGTCCACTGGATCATGGTTTCCCCCAGAGCCAGTGGGTAAGAAAAGATTATGACATTTCTCTGTCTCCTGAGAGAAGATGCAGGGTTCAGGGGAGCAGGGAGGGGAGTTTCCAGACCAAGTTTGCACTCATTCCACAGTGGAAAGGACAGCTTGTTCCGCTGAGGAATTCATCCTGCTCAGCCCTGAGAGAAGCATGTCCCCTCTATTAATTTGGCCAAGAGGTGTCAATGTATAAGTACAGGGGTTAAGGAGGATTAAATCACATCACGGCCCTTCAGGAATTATGAACGAGTAAACTGTTACATAACAGATTTTTGGTCAGAGTTAAGGCCATCTCTAAAATCATCTATACATTCTAAGAACACATGAGGTCAACTATGATTCTGAGTTTTAGGAACCAAACATTTATGCCCCTAACGTGAATGTATAAAAGAATCCAAATCACAATACCTGTAGCTGCTGGGAAAAACACCCCAAAGACCGTGGAAAAAGACTCCCCTGGGCTGTAATCCGGCAGAGTGTTGTTCCGCAGCAGTTCCGGGGAATATCCAATAAAGCCATGTTCTGAAACATACACAGGAGAGCAAAGTGAGCCAGGGGATGAGACACGGCGCAGGCTTCCCTAGATTAGACTCCTCTCTCCCGACAGAACCATCTTCCTTCCCACGTCCAGGCTTGACTTCCGTGTATCCGTACCTGTAGATACATGTAGATGAAATGACATGAAGGAGAAGTTACTTCTGGGAATGAAAACATTCTCACTCTTTTTGCTTATAGACTTCAGTATAGCTGAAATCTTTCAATGAGCATGTGTGTGTTTGCTTTTAATTAAAAAAATTAAGCTACCTCACCCTGGCTACTGTGGCTCAGTTGGTTGGAGTGTCATCCTGTAAACCGAAAGGTTGGGGCTCGATCCCTGGTCAAGGCGCACATCTAGGTTTAGGGTTTGATTCCCAGTCTCTCTCTCTCTCTCTCTCTCTCTCTCTCTCTCTCTCTTTCTCTCTTTCTCTCTCCCACACACACACTTCCTCTCTCTCTAAAAGCAATGAAGAAATGTCTACAGGTGACGATAAAAATAAAGTAAAAATTAAGTTACCTTCCTGCTCAGAAACCTTCCCATGAGTCCCCATTAGTTACAGAATAAATTCCCAAACCCTTTTGATGAATATCAGAGACCCCACAGCCTGGCAACATCCCACTATTCCCTATTCATCTTTTGCCTTTTCCTCTCTCCCAGAGTCTCATAGACAACTCTCCCCAGTGACATCGCCAGTGTCCATCCCTGTGTCCCTGCCTCCCAGGCCCTTCTCCCCCATCTCTGAGCACTGAAATTGTGCTCACTCTTCAAGCCTGTCTCAAATGCTGCTTCTTCCTTTGGGCTGTACGTGAACTCCTACTGGCACCATGACTAGCCATATTAGGTCTTTCCCCAATGAAATTCCTTGGGGCAAGAAATCCAGTCTTGCCCATCTGTCCCCCAGAGTCAAGGGCTGCAGCCGGCACACAGCAGGCAGGTCGCAAATATGGGTCACATTGAAAAGAATCTTCCCCTTTGGTCTCAGCTACAGGCACGTGCCAAGTTCACACTTTCTGTCTGACTTGTTCACAGGCTACTTTATAGAAGGGACAGCTCAGATCTGATTTCTTCAAAGCATTTTTAACATTTTTTACATCGATTTTAATGAAATTTTTCAAGTGGTTTTAATCCTACAGACACTTTGCTTCTTTGTCAAAGAAGGTCACTTTGAACAGCATCTATGGACATGTTAGAGGCTGTGGAGTTTCAAGAGGCAAGTGTTCTTGGGCTCAGGAACACCCAAGGTATCCAGCTGTGCTTTTGAGTCTCATCTCTGAGAATGAGTTGGTTTGCTCCTGTTAACTAGTCCAGGAGGATCCAAACCTGCCCTCTGTCTCTCAGCCCTTGCAATCACTCCATGGCTGACCCCTTGGGCTGGGGCGACAGAATCTCCAGCCTGCCTGTCCTCCACCTACTTCAGGGATTAACTTCACCCTAAGCATCCACCCATGAAAGAACTCCTGCCCCCTGATGAGTCTGACAAGATCGCCAGCAATTCTCACAGCTTCCAAGATTCATAACTTCATAGGAAAAATATTTTCCAAAAAAATAAATAAAAGCTCAGTGAAGCACAAGGGACCCTTGGGAGCCCGGTTGGAACTTAAAATCATTGTCGACTGCTCTCTGTTCTGAACACAGAATTTGTCCTGGGACGTTAAATCCCAAGAACAGTGCAACATTTCTGAATGGTTTGGCGTGTTCTCAGCTGCTTCTTCCCTCATTAACAAAAAAGCGATAATAGCTACGTTAACTTTAGTGTATCCGCTGGCTGACCCCAAAGCTAGCCTTTCTGCGGAGAAAACCAACCCAGCCTGCCTTGGAATGGAGTCAGCGGAGCTGGAAGGATGCAAGGGTCTGAACGCACCTCTGAGCTGGGGCTGTGGGCGCTGGAGGCCAGCCTCTGGGGCATAAACACTTCATCAGGCTCCACTGATCTCTGCCGTCCCCAAAGGGGCCCTGACATAAGGAGTTATTTGGTCCCCAAGCCTGAAGGGCTTTGCCCTGGTCAGCCCGAAGGGTCAAGGTGATTTCGGGCCCCATAGATGAGTCATTGGGAAGCCTCTTCTCCCCCTCCATCCCACCAACCGGATCCACAGATGAGAGAGTGAGTCACTCGGGCCATGGGGCTGGGGAGGAGGCCTGCCCCAGCCCCGTCCCTGCGGGGCCGCGAAGATGCAGCCTTCACACACTCACGAGCGCTTTCACACGGCCCTGCCAACCCAGCCCTCTCCTCCCAGGTCCACTTCTGAATCTCGCAAGGGAATAATCTTAACTTTGAAAAGAACTTTATGGACAAAGATGTTTCTCAATGCTTTACTTGTAATAATGTGAAACACTGTAAAATGAGTATAAAAGTCTAAGTATGGGGACTGAAGTATTTTAAATGCTTATAAAGGGTTTTTAGTCCCATAGAAAACCATCCATGTCATATACATTAAATAACAAAAATGGATACCATTTACAGTATAAATACTCCCAAAGTTTTTCATTTATACATGTAAGGAAAGACTAGAAGGAAACATACCAAAATACTAACAGTGGCTGTCTGCATAACACAATTATGGGCAATTTCTTTCTTTCTTTTTTTTATGTTTATACATTTTCCACAGTGTCTTTAATGAGCACAATTGACTTTTCATCAAAATATATCTTTTAGAAAAGCAAACAAAACATCCCATAACTGAAAACCCACTCTCCCCAGACATCTGTTCTATAAATAAGTATCTTTTTTTCTTTCCATCTATACTCCCCACGCTTCTCAAAATGATCACAGTGGTTTATGAGAAAAACATAAGTAATACAGGGCAAATAAAATAAGAATCAAAAAAAGGAAAAGAATGAGCAGGGAGAGCGAGAGCGAGATGGGACGCCCACAGACCACCGCACACCTGCAGAGGGCCGGCCCCAGGTGTCTGAGTGCAGGTCTGACGTAAGATCCTGCAGTCATCCCCCTCAAGCCGGAATCCGAGGCCCAGAGAGAGCATTTTATGACTTCTTTAGCCAAGCTCACTCAGGCAAGGACGCACCCTCGGGCCCACCCTCATGTGGGCCACCTTCCATTGGATGAGAAGGAGCCCCAGAGGCTTGCATGGTGGACCTGCCCCATTTCCTCTGCCCCTACCTTCCCAGGCCCTCGTGATTTCCACCCTCCAACCCCCTACTGCCACCGCAGCTGTCCAGTCCTGAGCCAGCACCCACAGAGGCTTGACCCCACCAGCCCTCATCCCAACTCCTAGGATCCTGGTCTCTCTCCCACACCCTGACCTGGTGGTCCAGCTGGACCTTGAGCTTATGCAGAGCAGGTAGTCAGGTCAGGCCCCGATGTCTCTGACTGGCTTGTACTTGCTAGCTGCGGCCTGGGGTGAGGTGCACAGGGCCGAGCAGACGCCACCTGCCGTGAACTCCTACAGTGGGTCTTCATGACTGATTTTCTGTGTCCACACCAAAGGCACCTAACTCTTCTGGCATGGCCCTGTTTGAGATTCTGATGCCCTCTCTGGCCCCTCTCCTCACAGATAGTTCGTTTTGCATAGTATTTGGGGTTCTCAGGCCTCTTAAGATGTTCTGGGAGGCATGGACCCTGAAGTTCAGGACCTTTACTCTAGGGGCTGCCTCTGCACCTGAAACTGTTCTGCCAGGCCCCACATGCACCTACAGCACCCAAGTCCTGACTGCCCCCTCTTCCTGCCATGGAGGAGACAGTGGCCCTAAGGGACACAGCCAATGGCACTCCACACCACAGTCCCTGCCAGGCAACTCCGAGTGTCTGCACACAAGGATTGCCTGGGCCTCCTGAGGACATCACAGGGCAACCTCCCTTCCAAGAACGATGGCAAGCAGCCACACACTGAGTACCTCGACCCTGCCAGTCCTGGACCTTGGTCTTTCTGAACTCAAAGTTTTCCATCAGCCATGCCGTCTCTCTGTAATGCATCCCAGAGTTGCTTCCCCAGAGCTTTCTAAAAAATAATTCTTTGCCTCTGTAAGCCTTTCAGCTCCTCTTCCGGTAAAACAGCAGAGTCAGGCTGGGGTCCTCTCAACATCTTCCAAATCTGAAAGGCCTGGGATGCCCAGCACCTGCAGCAGCTACATGTGAATGCATCTGGGTTTGACCTGACCATCTGTTTCTATGTCCACAGAAAAAATACCTTGGTCCAATCTGAGCTATGTGCTGTTAGAAAGAACAAAGAAAACAAGTCACAACAAAACCTGGGCAAGAACGAGCAGACAGAAGCCAACTGCAGATGTCTATATGCAGAAAGGCTGGGCCTTTCCCCCCAGATTCATGTAACAGCTTCTTGGGTTGCTGCCAGCGAGCTGTGGTTCTTCGGGTTCACTGTCCACTAAGAAGGGGCGCTCATGGGGTCCCACCCACCTTGCCTTGGCCAAAGGTGGCCACCCTGGGTCAACAAAGCACAGCTCCCTCAGGGCTGGGCTGGGCCACAAACCCTCTGGTAAGGTGGCTGCTATGAAACTCTTTGTGGCTCCTGTGGTTCCCCTGTGCTGTCACCCTTTCCCCCATCTCTGGGGTCTTCGGGAGTTAGAAGGGGCAGTCAGGAAGTTATTAGCCCCAGCATGTGGATGTCAGAGAGGAACCACTGACTAACTTACAAATCGAGATTTCTAAAAATGACGCTGGCATTTGGGACACTACCTTGCAGTGAGCCGTGGGACTCAGGAGGGGAGGGGGGCTTCCGGCACTAGCTTTCTTCTTGGCTTCTGTCCCCAACCCTTTGACCAGCAAGATAGCCCTTTCCTGGGAATGGACAATGAGAGAGGCTGGTCCGACCAGGAATAGAAAGAGTGGAGGAAGGGCCCGGGAGAGAGGAAGGCAGGGAGGGGCCCACCGCCCAGACCCAAAGGGCAGGCTGGGCCTGGGAGATCACAGGAAGAGCAACTCCCACAAGGAAAAGGAAAGGAGAGGCTGAGGTTCTGGGAAGGGACACCCCGCCAAACAACACCTGGGGTGAGGGGAGAGCAGGGACTC